ATTACCAGTATACAACCCATTAATTAATAATAAATGGGAAGCGGTATTAGGACACCCCTAGTAATTGTTAACAGGAAATAAAACTTCTTCGTGTCTGTTTGTGCTTTTTAAAATTTTCTTTATTTATTTGTCCTGATTCACAAAGTTTGGTCACAAAGTTTAAATCAGTATATTATTTTATTTACTTTTACACCATAATTGACACGTTTTTGGTGCTTGAGAGCAAATTTCTGGGTGTCGGACGTCACTACAAATATTTCAAGTCAGTCATTAAAATTTGCAGTAGATATTCAGCTCAGAGTAGAAAAAACCCAGTTTCCCTGTTTTTAATTTCTTTCGGTTTATTTAAATCATTCTGAAATCCATAAGTCGGACTTTTGTTCCTGCTGCTTTTTGCTCTGCTAATACATAAATTGCAAAAATCATCAGAAGTTACAAATTTGACTTAATTTTAAATATAAATGAGTCATTTGTCTATCAATCTATAATTATAATGTCTCCCAGTTAAGACATAAGCAAGTTTAACTGGATTTAATTAAACCAATTTATAAAACTATTCATAACAAACTGTAAAAGCTTAAAGAAAACACCGAGACATGATCTCTGTAAAGTCTGTGATCTGCTTTGAGCCACATGGTGGCAGCCTGAAACACAGAGACTCAGGATGACTCGCAGACAGGAAAGATCTTTCTGTGGTTCATAAAACGTTTGCTACAGTCGACACATTTCAGAATAAACGTTTATCTGTTGTTGAGAATACATGAGGAATTTACCCGCCAACAACATAGATGAGTTGGCTTCCACGGTTTGGTGGAGGAGGAAGCTTCATCAGCGTCATTTCCTGAAAGATTTTTGACAGGAAGTCCTTACAGGAATTGGCCTGGAGGTCAAGAAAAAAAGGTACAAGAAGTCAAACACATAAAGCAGCAAACAGCTAGTTAATGATTTGCACTGAATACACAGAAAACACTGGTTCATTTAAAACACTAAGAATGTCAGGGTTTACCTTGCTGAGGATGGGGCAGGACAGGAGCTGGTTCTTCAGAAACTTGGGAGGCAGAGCGTAAATATGAACAGCGTTCAGGAGAGCATGAAGATACTGAGACCTGCTCTCCAGGTCCCAGCTGACCCAGTCTGTGCACGCCTTGTACACCTGCAGGGGGATTATTTAGTATTTAGCTAGAGGTGGGTAACGTTGTGAGTACGTGAGTAAAAACTCACATTGAGCTGACTTTTTTTTTTGTTTAACAGACTGAACTATATTATTTTTATAGATAATACAGTAAAAGTCTCATTAAAGACTTTATTACTGTGATAATATGAAAGTCCAAATCCATATTGTTTGGTTTCTGTGCACAGATTGACATGTTATTTCAAAAGTGAGCTTGTGTTTTGTTTTAATCCTCCTTATTTCTTAATAATCAGAGGCTGAAGGAGCGCTCTGTTTTTATTAATCATGCAAAGTGGAGGTTCTGTTTTGAAAAAAWAAWWAAATAAAATTAAAAAAAGCCAATTCCAATGGAGCAAGCTGGAGAAAAAATGTCACAAAAGTGAATATTTGCTTTAACTGACATAAATTACTATTAAATTTGACTCTATTGTTATTGTTGCCTGTTGCCATGAAATCAGGTAATCAAATGTATGAGTGTTTGTGTGCATGTGTGCACGAGCAAGTTCATTTATTTACCTGTCTGCATGCAAACTATCTGGGCAGACTTTACAGAAACTCGTAATTACTGGATGTAGGTCTTCAACTAATTAAATACAGGATGGCCGTATTAAGAAAACACCAAAATAGCTTTATCTCTGTGCAGTTTACAGATATTGGGCCTCATACAAGAACCGTTCGTATGCACAGATTTGTTCTTAAGTTGTGCGTACGAGTGATTTAGGACAATTTGTGGCATTCACCAATGTTTTCGTATTCTAAGATTTTTTTCAGATA